GTCCCCACAATTATCTTTTTGCAATCATGAGGACTAGAAACTTCATCGGACTTAAGTACTTTTATAGAAAACTACACTTCCACATTATCCCCACAAGTATCTCTTAGCAATGAGGACTAGAAACTTGTTCAGACTTAAGTACTTTTATAGAAAACTGCCCTTCCGCATTCTCCCCACAAGTATCTCTTAGCCATGAGGACTAGAAACTTCACCAAACTTAGGTACTTTTATAGAATACTACACTTCCACTAAGAATTTGCCCCCAGAAGTATTTATTTACAATTATGAAGACTATATAAACTTCACCAAACGTAACTACTTTTTACAGAAGATTTCACTTCCATTAAGAACTGTCTCTTTGCAATCACGAGGACTAGAAACTTCATCAGACCTAAGTGCTTTTATAGCAAACTACCCTTCCATCAGATTTTTTTTTTTTTGCTCCATTCTTGTTTTGTTGGCAAAAGAGAAATAAACGACAGCAAAATCTGATTTTTGGGGGAGGGGGAAGAGAGAAAAAGAGGTATAGGCTGCTGCCGGTTCGCACCAGTTTGCACAAACCGATTGTTAAGATTGTGCGCAGTTGGGTGAACTGGCAAATCCCACCGCTGACCCCGCTCGTTTTTCGGTCTGTTTTGGGGACCATTTTGAGGAATTTTTGGGGGGCTATTTTCAGGCCATTTTTGGCTCAAAAAAAAAAAAAAAAAAGGCCCTAAAACAGCCAGAAAACAGGCCGAAAAACGAGCAGGGAGGGCCCAGCCAGTAGTGGGACAGCCTCAACCGGCTGAATCCTACCTCTGCCTTTGAGGCGGGTGGCCGGGAGGCGGAGCTGGGTGCGATAAGTGGCGTCACCCGCCCAGTCACATGATCAACCGAACACGCCTACCCAGCCGGAGAACCGGTTGTTAAAAAATGTGCAGCCCGCCACTGAGGGGGAAGGGTTGGCATTCAGAGGGGTGGGTGGGGCGGTTTGCATACCTACAAAAAGGACAAGGCAAGGACCCTCGTTCAGCTGGACAGCGTTGGAGTCGGTCAGCTCTAAGACAGGCTTGGGGTGCCAGGGGAACTCCTTGCACTCAGTGTCATTCAGGACCTCGACTCGGCCTTGCCGGGTAATGACGTCTCCCTTAACGTCCAAAACAATAAGAGTAGGGATACCTGCGATTGGACAAAACAGAAAAAGAAACCAAGATAAAGAGAGAGTTGAGGAGGAAGAGAAGTAACCACATCATGTCATTTATTTATTTTTAAATAAATTTTTTATTAAACATAACGTTTACAAACATTGAACGTGGTGGAGTTGTTTTGACATAACTTTTGGTCATCATTCTAGTAAAATACATATATATCTTATATACATTTGTACAATATACACATATATTGTTGTGGTTCGCCGGCAGCAGGTGTGGATGGCTGAGGTCTCGGAGAGCGAGGACTCAGATGAGGGGCCTGCGTGGGATGCAGGGATGGGGCCAAGACCATCAGGGAGTGGAATGAGGCCTTCAGAGATTGTGGAGGCTGGCAGCAGTGAGGAAGCGTCCCCCGAGGAGCCTGTGCCAAGTGCTCATGTGCGCAGGGCTGCTTGAAGTAAAGAGCAGCTGCAGCAGCACGGGCGACTCAGGAGTAAGGCTGCAAGGTAATGGCCCCTCCCTGAAGAGATAAAAGCCAGCTGAGAAACCGGAGTTCTTTGCAGGAAGCAAAGAAGTTCTAGCACTTCAAGTCTTATGCAAGTTCGGACTATCCTAGTTTTTGCTTTGGAGACTCTTTGTGTTTGAAATCTTTCTTAGTAACTTTATCTAATATTCTTGGCAGCCTTGCACAACCTTGGCAAGGCTCATTCTTATCAATTAGTTTGAAACAGCCTTTTAATCGGGAAGGAACAGAATTCGTAAAGAAACATTAAAAGGTTGCGCTGTTACCTTTGTCTCGTGTTTGCTTCCTTGGAACCAGGTTTGGGTCAGAACATATATACATTTATTCATCCTAACTTATATCTTCCAACGTTCTTAGTAATATTTAAGTCTCATGGTCACAGATGTCCTTTTAATAACTCATTTCAATCTTAAACCCTTCCTTTCTTTTCCCAATTATATAATATTCCGATTCATCTCTTATTTTGGCTATCCATTTCAGCACAAGTCAAAATGTTATTTATTATTTCCTCTTTACTAGGAATTACTTTCTCTTTCCACTTCTGGGCATATAACATTCTTTGCCGCAGTGATGACGTGTATTATCGAATATAACTTCTTCCTTATTACATTTTTTTGATATAATTCCCAATAAAAAAAAAACATTCTGGCCTATGGTTTATGGCTTGTCAGAAGCTTGCAAAAGGCAATCCGCAACCCCGGGATGCTGCAACCGTCATAAAAGCGAGTCACTGGCCAAGCAATCTGAATTTGGATCACATGATTGCAACAGTCGTTATGTTTGAAAAATGGTCTTGTCACTTTTTTAAAGGGCCGCTGAACAGTCACTAAAGGAACGTCATCAAGGAGTACCTGTGTGGGCAATTTTTTGCGGAACCTGTGCGTATTGCAAACCAGCATCTCGCTTTCCAAACTCGACTGTTTTGTGCGCTGATTTTCGGCCCCCTCCGTGTTCCAAGGTTGCGGATTCAGATCTTGGACAGGCTCCCAAACTGCTTGTCTAACGTTCAGCCTCCAAAACGGTCTTTGGACTAACAACATGCCTCTTGAGTGAAGAGGGTGATTTGAGCCTATTCGGCTTTACTCCGCCCACTGCACTTCAGCACCCAAGCCCGCCTGTGGAATTAGTGGCTGGGAATTTTCTTGTGCGATGGGGAGTGCAGTGTGTGTGTGTGTGTGTGTGTGTGTGTGTGTGTGTGTGTGTGTGAAGCCTCCGTCCATTGCAATCATTCAGATTTGTTGGAATCAGACGGCATCTTCGATTTTCAAGGAAAAGGATAGAGGAGGGAGGGAGAGAGGGAAAGGAAGGATGGAAGGAGGGAAAGGATGAGGAAGAAAAGGAAGAGAAAGAAAAGGAAGGAAGGAAAGGTAGAGAAAGAAAAGAAAGGTAGAGAAAGAAAAGAAAGAAAAGAAGGGA